AATTGAATCTGTACCCATTATACATTAACTCCCCATTACCCCTTCCTCGCACCCCTCTGCTTAACTTCTGTCTTATTTATATTTGCAGAGTCAGAGTTATATAATATTTGTTTTTTTGTGTGTGCCATATTCCACATAGAGAACAGAACAATTTTATAACATTTTCATGATTCATAGTTAAGATTCTTTGGAAGCTGAAACATATTTGAAAATCATGAACTCTTTCTAAATATATAACTTTTCTCAGGGTTCGGACTTGTTGCTTAGATCCCTTATTGGGGTACGTATTACGGCTTCTTGTTTACCTGTCTCTAAGGACATTAAAGAGAGAGGATTGGTGAATGAAAGTAGCAGAGAAATAACAGGCCAGGATAATTTCTGAAATCACTCATGCATTGCTTTGGTAGGATTGTGGATAAAAGTGTAATTTTTTTTTTTTTGAGGCCACATCTATGGCCTGGAGGTTCATGCTAATGCTGAGTGTAGGTCTTAGTTTGCCATAGAGTAAACCTTCTCTATTGATGCCACTTGCCACTGGAAGCTCTCAGAGCCTGGTTTTCCCTGAAAATGCAGGTCTCCGAGAACTGCAAGCCTCGAAGTGTTAGACTCTGGTATTGCAGTCTTTCTGGTGTGTAGCAAGAGTGTAATTAGATTTTGAATCTCTGCGTTGACATTGCTGGTTGGGGATTTATGTTTTTTTATTTGATGAAGAATAGGAATTGACATTCACTCATTTACATTTTTTGCATATCTTAATTAATTCCAAATAAAAATTTCCTTGGGTTTAAAGAGAATTAAGTATCTTTTTAGCGTTCTAGATATGGGAAATGAGAATGTAGATGTAGGATGCTATGTTACAAAGGTGCAGATGGTTAAAACATTTAACATTATGAGAAATGCATAATAGGTGTTCAATAAAGAAGTCAGAATAGCAACTGCTTTTTAAAAATCTTACAGTGCTTTTTTTTTTTTTTTTAAGTAGCAGGAATTAAACGAGGTGCTTAACCACTGAGTCACGTTCCCGCCACTGCTCCCCCCTCCCTTTTTGTATTTTATTTAGAGTCTGGGTCTCACTGAGTTGTTTAGAGCCTTGCTAAGTTACTGAGGCTGGCTTTGAACTCATGATCCTTCTGCCTTTAAGGTGTACAACATGACATTAGAGATGCATATATAGTAAAATAGTTACTATAGTAAAACAAATTAATATGTTAATAATCTTACAGAGGGGGATTCCACCTCTTGGGTCCCCTTCTTCCTCCGGGAGAAGTCTTTTCTTCTGTCCTTTAATAAATTTCTAATCTCTACTCTTAAAAAAAAAAAAATAATCTTACAGAGGTAATTCATTTTGTCCCCTGTAGCAAAAACAGCTATTAGCAAAAATCCTGAATACAATAATATACTGTTACTATCTGTAGTCCTCATGTTGTATATTAGAGCTTTAGACTTGTTCATCCTACATATCTGCTACTTTTTATCCTTTGATTTATAGCTGTCCTTCCCCTGGTAACCACTGTTTTATTCTCTGTCTCTGTATATTTGCCTTTTTTTCCCCTTTAAGATTCCACACATAAGTGCAATATTTTTCTATTTCAGGCTTATTTCAGTTAGCATAATGTCCTCCAGCTCTATCCATGCTTTAGCAAATGGCAGGATTTCTTCTTTCTTAAAGTCCTGAATAATATCCCCTCCCCTCCTTCCCTCCCTCCCCCACCCTCTCTCTCTTTTTCTGTATGTGTGTGTGTGTGTGTGTGTGTGTTGCATATTACAGTTTCTTTATCCATTCATCTATTGGCAGACACAGATTGTTTCTTATTTTGGTTAGTGTGGATCATGCTATAATGAACATGGGATTGCAGATATCTTTATGAGGCAATGGATTTCATTTCCTTGGGTGTTTAAGCAAGATGAAATGCTGGGTTATACAGTAATTCTATTTTTAATTATTATTATTTTTTGGTACTGGAGACTGACTGCAGGGGTACTTAACCACTGAGATATCTCTCCATCCTTTTTTTAAGTTACTTTTTTTTTATTTGTAGATGGATACAATTGCTTTGTTTTATTTATTTATTTTTATGTAGTGCTGAGGATAGAACCCAGTGCCTCACACATGCTAGGCACATTTTACCTCACACTTTACCATTGAGCCACAACCCAGCCCCACTATCCTTTAAAAAAAATTATTTATTTATTCAAACTTGTTATATGTGACAGCAGAATGCATTTAAATTCTTAGTACACATATAGAGCACAATGTTTTATGTCTCTGGTTGTACACAAAGTAGAGTCACACCATTCGTGTCTTCATACATGTACTTAGGATAATGATGACAATCTCATTCCACCATCTTTCCTCCCCCATGCCCCTTCCCTTCCCTTTGCCATATCTAAAGTTCCTCCATTCCTCCCAAGTTCCCCCCACCCCCCTTTCCCATTATGGATCAGCATCCACATATCAGAGAAAACATTCAGCCTTTGTTTTTTTGGGATTGGCTTACTTCACTTAGCATGATATTCTCCAGCTCCATCAATTTACCTACGAATGCCATGATTTTATTCTCTTTTAATGCTGAGTAATATTCCATTCATTAATATCCATTCATTTGTTGAAGGGCATCTATATGGTTCCACAATTTAGCCCCCATTCCTCTGTATTTTTTATTGTAAGACAGGGTCTTGCTAAGTGTTGTAGGGCCTCACTAAATTGCTGAGGCTGGCTTTGAACTTCTGATACTCCTGCCTTAGCCTCTCAAGCTGCTGGGCATTACAAGTGTGTACACTGCACCCAGCTGTTTTTAATTTCTTAATAATCAAATTCTCTTTCTTAATGGAAGAGAATATTTAATAATTTCTTAATGACCAAATTCTCTTCCATAATGGAAATCTCTATTTCCACCATCAGTATTTTTTCTACATCCTTGTCGACACTGATTATCTTTTGTCTTTCTAATAATAGCTGTCCCTTCTGGATGGGAGGTGATATCTCATAGTGGTTTTGATTTGTATTTCTCTTATAATTAGTAATTTTGAGGACCTTTTCATACACCTGTTGGCTGTTTTTATCTCTTTGGAGAAATGTCTATAAAGGTCCTCTTTTTAACTGGATTATGTTTTTGTTTTTGTTTTGCTGTTGAGTTGTATAGTTCTTTATAAAAATATTTTTTTCCCAGTCCATAGGCTGCCTTTTTATTTTGTTGATTGTTTCCTTTTGCTGTGCAGAAGCTTTTTAGTTTGATGCAATCCCATTATTTTTAGTTTTGTAGCTTGAGCTTTTGGTATGATATCTAAGAAAGCATTGCCAAGGCCAACATCAGGGAGCTTTTCCCTGTGTTTTCTTCTGGGAGTTTAATGGATTTAGGTCTTGTTAATTTGAGTTGATTTTTGGGAGGAGTGTAAGATAAGGCTCCAATTTATCATTTTGCATGAGGAAGTCCAGTTTTTCTAGCACCATTATTGAAGAGACTGTCTTTTTCCTATTGTGTCTTCTTGGTGCCTTTGTGGAAAATTAGTTGACTGTGTGTGCTTGGATTTATTTCTGGGTTCTCTATTTTGTTAGAATAGTGACTATTAATATTAAAAATAGAATGTGCCCCAAAGAGAAGGACTAAGGTGACAAGAGGCCAAAAACCTGGAAGTGGATGGTTATTGCAGAGGATAAGAGGTAGAAATGTAATGTCATTATCTGGGGAACAGTCAAGTGGCAGAAGAGTTGGATTTTTCATGTGTCGTGGTGGTGCTAAGAACAAAAAGTTATTGTGTAGGATTGTAGCTCTAAATTAATAAGAACTTTTAAAGATTTTGATTAAATTAAACAGGCTGCATTGGGATTTAGAGGAGATTCCAATATTCATCATGGTTAACAAGATACCAGTAATACAATTCTTAATTTTATTATCTCATAATAGTAACATTTGTCCTATTTTACAGATGGTTTTCAAGTGCAGGGACTGTATTTTCTATAAAATTGTATTCCAGAGGTTGCCTGCCACCAACCAAGCTCTTGCTGATTTTTGATGTATGAAATAAAAATGTTTCTAAACATCAGATTTGTATTTATCCTGATGTCAAGCTTGAATTGAGTAATATATGCGCCTGACTTTAAAATGTTCTTTTTTTCTTGAAAAAATATTAGTTAGATGTGAAATGACCTTGCCTTTTTTTGTTGTTTTTTCTTTGTTTACTTCATGGATTGTTGTAAAATGCTTACATTCGGTGTCAGCATATTAGTTGTAACCTTTTATTGCTATTGATATCTATAAGTACGTTAAGTAAATCTTCATTTTGCTGACCTCTTTGAGGATGCATGGCATCAGCAGATTCTCTCTTTCAGTGGACAGGTGAGAGATTAGCAGGATCAAGTCAATTTTTCCCTTTTTGCTTTGTTTCCTTCAGAGCAGCAAGATTCATTGTCTAGCAAGGAGGAAACTGTGCTAAATGGCAGAATTTGTCTTAGAGTTAATGGTTTAAAGAGTGCATGTAAATTACACACTGTCTGCTAGGTACCACTGCAGGGGGATTCTTTTTTAAACACTGTTTTAGCATTTTGATTCAGCTAGGTTAATAGCATCATAATTAATAACACAAGAGATTTTCAGTGTAAGGAATTGGCTTGTAGATAATTTGAGATGAAGGTTTACTCTTCCCTTCCAAGATCAGTGAGGCACTTTTGCTGGATGGATTTCCATTGTTACCTAGGGAAAGTGTCTTCCAGGTCCTCTGGTGACAGATTCTAGGGTAATTAGTTTACCTGCTGACTGCTTGAGGGAGGTCAATGGAAGTGTGGACCACTAGAACCCTTAAGTAAACCATCTTTGGCCTGCCTAGGTGTGAAGTTGAGGGGGGCATAAGGGATAGGAGCATGTTGAGGGTCTGTTAAAGTGTGGTTGCAAATACCCTTCTAAAAAGAGATTAGAGATGGGGATATGAAGACTCCTTCCCCTGACAAATGCTTTTTATTCTTTTGTCATGTCTTCTGATCATTTCCCTCTCTATCTTTGTAGGAAACTGGGTCTCTTGAAGAATCTACCGATGAGTCTGAGGTAAGGTGATAATTCAAGGAGCCCTAGGATTTGTCACTACCATGTCCTACCCTTGTGCTTGTTCTGCTTTGCTCAGTGGGACATTTCCTGGTGCTGGGGGTAGGGGTGGTGAGGGCTATACAGTAGAGGCTGGGGGAGAAGCATGCCTGTTGTCTTCAAACTTCTAAATGGATTAGCTTAAGAAATAAACAGGGAAAGGAATAAAAAGTTTTTCTTTCATTGCAAAGCATGTGGACAAAGCACAGAAGCATGTGGACACTGGGAAAATTGATGTCAGGCTTTAAAAACTAATCTCAACACTGTGATGTCTTTTTAAAAAAATTATCCAGTATAGGTTTTGCAGTATTCTGTTTTTTTCTACTTTTTTTACATGGTGCTGGAGATTTAACCCAGGGCCTTGTACATGCTAGGTAAGCATTCTCCATGGAGCTACAGTCCTTGCTCTAATATTTATTTTTTACCTATTCTTTTGATGACTATGAGGTACTTATTGGTGTAATTCCTGAATCATTGAAATTATAGTTTATTTCTTAAAATAAAAAAGGAAACTATGAAGGAGTTATGTTAAAGGTTATATCTTGAGAATAAAGTCATTCTTTTTAAAAGTGAGAGTTTTTAAAAACTCTCACTTTTTTAAAAAGTGAGAGTTTTTAAAAATATGCATAAGAAGTAAGTTTAAGCATAATACAAATTAATTAGTGTATCAATTTTATAGGTGGACTAATATATTATTTTTAAATATAGTATTTTTTTTTTCCTTTCAATATTTCATTTAGTTCAGGGAAATGAAAAAGCATCTGTGTTGACCTGCTGGAAATTCACACTGACGTGACTATAACTGCAATTGTTTATTAAATTGGGATTTTTGTTGCATATTGTTTTTATATGAGTTTTGTTTGCATTTTCAGGGAAAATGTGGGCTTATGCTTAATTTCTAGAAAATGTTATATATATTATACCATTTTCTAGCTATAGTTCTTAACATTATGTAGGATTTCTGTTCCTGTGGGGCTGCAGATAAGGTATTTCTGAGTGTGCTTATAGTAGGGTATAGCATTATTAATTACTGAAAGTACTGAAAACTTTTCAGATTACCGTTTTTAGATTTGGAAATCTGTAACTAACAACTAACCTTGTGTTCTCAGAACCATTGGTATAGAATCATGCGGTATTTGGGATCTGTCCAGGAATTTGATTTCATAGGTGAGGAGAATGATGGCAGGAACCCAAATCTAAATCTTGCCACATGTTCTACAGATAGGAAATTAATCAACAAGAAAAAATAAGAGTACATGTAAGTCAGGCCTCTAGTATAATTAGGAAATAGGGAGTGTTACAGATTTTAATACAAGTGGGGGAATAAACCCCAGGAAACCAGCAGAGCCAGCTCTGGAGTTGTTGCTGGAGCTGAAAGTCAGGTGGAGATGGGGTAGAAGTGCAGAGTGCAGCTGAGCACCCAGTGGTGGCAGAATACAGATAAAAATCACCCTTAGTGGGCTGCGGATGTGGCTCAAGCGGTAACATGCTCGCCTGGCATGCATGGGGTGCTGGGTTCGATCCTCAGCACCACATAAAATAAAATAAAGATGTTGTGTCCACCTAAAACTGAAAAATAAAAAATATTAAAAATTCTCTCTCTCTCTCTCTCTCTCTCTCTCTCTCTCTCTGAGTGGGAAAATATCGCAAAACATTGGAGATCTGAGATGTGGTGTACGTGGAAATTTGAAGGAAAGGGCTTGAAAGTGCTTGGAACTAACTGCAGGATGGTGCTAATTCTGGGAGAGATGGAGGAGGTGTTCCTTAGAGGCTTGGTAGTTAAGGAAAAGGACAAAGCAGAGAGAATTAAGGGTGACTACAGATAGAGTCTCCTAAGATCAGAACTACCTACTCTACTCCCACAAAAAATGAAAGTTCCATTTATTTAAAAGAAACTCTTCATTGTATCTACGTAACTCAGAAAACTAGTAAACCACCTAGAAGCCTCATCCCCTTCTCAGGGGCATCTGTTGTTGCTGTCTAGGAACACATGAGACTTTGAAAATGAACTGAAATGGTAGGTAACATCCATATGAAGTTCTTATAGGAAGAAGGCAAAGTGAGAATACAGCTTTTTTATGTAGCATAAAGCAGTAATGTGTTCCCCTTTTATAAAACAGTTGAGTCTCATTAAACAGGCATTTCAAAATAATGATCATTGACCTTAAATCTGAAATTAAAAAACTCAGAATAGAAATGGACAAAAAAAACAAAACAAAACAAAAAAAAAAAACTAGGAAGTTAAGAAATGAGAGTTGACCCAACTGTGGAAAGAAATGAAACCAAGTTCAGACTTTATACATTTAGTAAGTCTGTTTGTGGCTGAACTGTGGGAGAAATTATCTTAGGTTTCTTTACTTAGTTTAAACCACTTTCCACTTCCAGAGGTGATATTTTTAAGATACCAGTTAATCTGCCAAAGAATCCTCCTCTATTCCTTTCTCTCTCTCTCTCCTTTCCAACATGTTTTATTACTTTTAGGACAGGCATTTCCTCTATATACTTCTTTATTATTCAAGTACTTGGATAATTTTCAGTTCTGAGAGCAGTAATGTGTAGTGTTTTCAACCATGTGTTTTAACAATTTGTTTATCATTTTATGAACTGATGCATTTTATATAAACTGGGCTTTTATATTAGGAAGACCATTGTTTTAGATTTATCTAAAGTTCTCATTTTAATGTATGTCTGAGAAGTATTTTCTGTCCCAAATTGTCCATATGTTTTTCACTAATCTTGAAAACTCCAACCAAATGAAATGAAATTGCTAAGAGTAGTGTAATTAATGTAATGAAAATGTGTATATGTCTGCATATAAAAATTTAAGAATTTTAACTTGCACTTTGCAGTTAAAGGAGAAATTCAGAAGTGTATTATAAACATGATAGCTAAGCATGTCACTTAAGAGACTCCATAGTTAAGGGTCCTACATTTATCTTAATACTTTAATTAGTTGTGGCAAATTTTGTAGGATAACTAAACAAGTCCTCCTATCTAGGCTTTTTTGAATATTAGATGGTGTACTGTTTCTTCCATCTTGATATGAGCCAATTTCTTAGATAGTGTTTTGTTTTTGAACAGCATAACAGAGAAGCGTATTATCTTTAAAAGGATTTCTTTTCCATTTTGAAGCACTAAGATCTTTTCAATACTTAGGGATGATTGCTGTTAGTGGGACAAGGCAAGAGCAGAGAGGAATGGATGGATATTCAGGAATGGTTTTAGTTAGAATATTTAAGAATGAATATGCTGGGAACCTTGGAAGATGAGTCAGGGCAGGAGTCTTCAGGAAGGAGGAAAAGTATTTGCAGAGACAGTGTTGTGCCATTGTATGTATATTTGCCAACCATGAGGCACTCAGTGTGCCCGGAATGTAGGAGGAAGATGGAAATGAGACTGGTAGAATATAAGAAGGTAAGATTTGAAAGCTCCTAATGGATCAAATCTGGCAGTGTGGACTTGATTCTATGGATATCAGGGAGCTATCCAAAGGCTTGATTTTTGGGGAGAGATGAAGGCTGGTAACAGGTGACCTAGAAGGAGAGACCATGGCAGGAAGACCATTTGGGTGGTTCTCATGGAAGTCCCCGTAAGAGGTAGGAGTGTGCAGGGCCTGGGCAAAAAGGTAGCAGAAGACAAAGAGGAGCTGCCTTCAAGGAGCTACTTCTCAAGTTCAGTCAATAGGAAGTTTAGGATGGTGTGTGAAAGGTGAGCTAGATCGAAGAGTCAAGAAGATTCCAAATATCCAGCTCAGCTGTGTTGTAGGGAACTGAATCTAATATTAGGCAGTTAAAGGAAAAATATATTCTCAGCCCAAATTTTAAACTTAAAGACTGATTTCTCAACATGTAGATTATTCATCTTTAAAAGTGGTACTTTTTAATCCATTGGTATTTTTTTTATAATGGTTTTTTGCTCATGCTGAAACAAATTAGAAGCTCTCATATTACAAAAGGAAGTGAGCAAACTAATTTATGGAATTTTATTTTACTTTAAAAACCTATAAATCACTGCTTGTAGAGGCACTTTTTGAGCCCTATTTGGAGAAGAGATGATGTAGTGGAAGGGGTAATATGTTGGGAGTCTTTTCTGATAATGATGATCATTACAAAAATGATCATATATTTAGTGTAGAAAACAGTGCTTGGCCCTTTGGTAGATTCTAGGTTTATCAATCAGCCCTGTGAGTTGGCCTTGATGATTGCTTTTGTATTACAGATTGCTGTGGTTTGAATGTGCTCTCCAAAGTTCATGTGTTGGAAACTTAATCCCTTGTGTACAGTGTTGATAGGTAAGACCTTTAAGAGGTCCTTAACGTTGTAAGGGCTCTGCCCTCTTGAATGGATATGTCATTGCAGAGAGAGGATGTGTGGTAAAATTTTGTTCAGATCCTCTCTTGCTGTCTCTTGTTTGGGTGCTTGCCATGTGATGCCTTCTGTCATGTTATGGTGCATCAAGAAGGCCCACAGTAACATATATACCTAAATAAAATAAATTATAAAAAAAGAAGGCCCACAGCAGATGCAGCCCCTCTATCTTCGACTTCCCAGTGTCCAGAGCTGGGAGCCAAATAAACTTTGTGTACAAATTAGCAAGTCTGGTATTCTGTTAATAGCAGCACAAAACAGACCAAGATACAGATGAAGAAACAGACTTAGAGTGTTAACTTGCTGAAAGTCCCTGGCTGGTAAGTGGATTTGAATCTAGCAGTCTTAATCCAAAGCCCGGGCTCCTAATCTCTAGTTATAGGAGGCTTACTGACTTCACTGTGATTCTATAATTTTATTCCAGACTATCTGTGTACCTTCATAGACTTGGACAGGATTAAAACCCTGGAACTCCTGTCTATGTATAAAGTGAAGTATTGTGGAGCATTTACTGTGTGCCATGTGTTGTACTGGGTGCTTTACATAAATTGTCTTATTTAATATGAACCAAGATGCCATCAGATAGTATATTTGACA